CACTTAGCAGAGAGCTTGGTATCGACAGAAATGCCCAAACTGTTTCTGCTTCCTATTAGTGAGGCATCTCAATGCTCCTGAAACACCCGTTAGCAATCTAGTCCCAGTATGATGAGTTGGCTGGGTTTCACGCCTCTCCATTTTATAGTTGATGAATAGCTGCAGCAGATGGTTTGTTATCTTTGAAGATTCCAGTAAGATGAGCGTGATGAATCGCTGCAGGTCTTACACATCCACGAACCCCACCTCCGCCACCATCATGTGACCCCTCCAGCACCAAAAAAAAAAAAGAAGCAATGTAAACAATATGTAGTCGACTCATCAAGCACAGAAGCTACTGCTTGCACTTTTCTCAGCCCCAAAATCTTTAGACATGTCTGCACTGACACTTTCATTCCATTCCAGCTGTGTAAACACCGATATGGTTGGTGTTAAATACATAGATTCTGAAAAATGACCAGGGCTCATCTGGTGCAGTCATTATCCTCTTTACAGTGCACACTCAGGACAGACTCGTGTCCATCATCGTCATCAGTCGTACAGGGGCACACAGGAGAGCGGCTGCGGGGTGAGTGTAAAAAATGGACCAGTTATGGTAGCAAACGCTGCTAATGCTTTCCTTGCACTGTGAAGTCTTTGTAGGTCGTTCTGTTTCTCAGATTATAAATCACTCCATACCTGGGGAGAGACATCACCTAAGACTAGTGCCATGTGAAATGTCTGAACCTGCAAAAAAAAAAAAAAACGTCTAGAGAGGGGCTGCACAATTGCACTGCTCAGGGCCATGAATTTATGACAGTCATAATTTGAATACAGTGATAGACTAAAGATCTCCATGCGCATTAAAATTTTAGAAACTGATTTATCTTAATAAACCTGAATTTATAAGGGCAGCAAGTCACAAACTTTCTCATTATTACACTACCATTTTTGTGAAACAGCTTTCACCTGAGTTTGGTTTGTAGATCCAAATTTTAACATGGTATTTGACTGTTGCACTAGTAAAGTTATTTGTGTGTCATGTCATCCAGAGCAGGTTATCCAATAAATAAATCACCTTAAAAGACATGTCAACAGTCCACCCATAATAGATCTCCGTATTACCAGGTCTACATACCCTGTGTGTTGAAGGAACAACAAAACGCATGGGTTGAGCACACCTGGAATAACTGTCTAATTGTAGACCTCCTGACACTTGTGACTTGAAGACACTCTACAGGACACAAGAGACCTAAAATAAAAGATCCGCAATATTGAAGCAAAAATAAGATGACAATGCAGTCTGATTATAAGGCATGCAACCCAGTGACATAAAAGTCCCTTTGTACATATAAATTTGATAGATGATAAATCTACAGTATGTATGCTGGAATTAAATTTTTAAAATGATGAAATGGCATTTAATGTATGCTTATTAGGTGAATTGCAGTTTAACTTACAAGATACATAAATCGCCTTTATATCAAAGCAAGCATGAGTTGTTTATGCTAGTGCTGCAATAAAACTTCTGACTATAACCATGTTCAATGTCAAGCTGCCGTATGCTTTATAAAAATTTTATTGTTACATAATATAGTTTTAATAGTAATTGGCAAGTGCATATTTCATCAAAAGACATTTGAGCAACTCATATTTCATAGGTTCATTAATCATATATTCATTTTATAGCTCCAAACTGAGTAATATTTCTGCACAAAAATCAGTTGTTCCTCATTACTCAGTTTTCCATCACCAGTGAATTCATGTTTTAACAGGGCCTCATTTCTCAGGGAATTTACTTGCTTTAGAGAGCTGGAGGCCTCACCTGTAGGCTACTGTGCTCACTCACACATGCGTGATGCAATGTGAGACCTTTGCCTATTCACTGGAGAAGGAAGGAGGAATTGTACCGCTAAACTGCCTGCAGTGCTGCAGGTGTGAATATTTGTGAACCAACTACTGTGATTAATAGCAAAGAAATCTGGGACTTCTCCCAACACGAAGCCATCACAATAGCTCTGACAAAGTCAATCGATGCGATCTGTCAGTGCCAGGAAAAAAAAATGTGATGAGAATATGTATTCATGAGGCCAGGAGGATGACAGCACTGCTGATTTATCACAGATGTGCATATTTGAGACAATGGGCAAACATGACTTCAACATTTGGGAAGAATTTTGTGCTATCATGTGGCCATTATAGTACACATTCACATGGTGTGGATGTACAAAAAGGCAGACACACACATGCATGGACATGCCTGCATACACGGCTACACAGACCTACTATGGTTAGCACACAGTCACAAATACTGATGCTTGGACACACCTGTGTAAAGCACCAACCTTTGCACAGTACAGACAGTGGAGGAAGAGGTTGTCGGATCCTTTACCTAAGTAACATTGTATTGCCACAAAACAACAACAACAAACTCCTGCATTAAAAAATTTTACTTGAGCAAAACTATTACCAGCTAAACGTATTTGTATTGTATTCAAAAGCAAACAGAACAGAATCACATCACATCACCTTCTTATTATATATTACTGGAATATTGCTGCTGATGCAATAACTTATAAGCATTTTGATTGCTTATTTGATCAACAGGAAGCCAATTTAACAACTTTATACACTGCTGCACAGTGGTGGAATGTAACTATCCATCCATCCATTTTCCTCCGCTTATCCAGGACCGGGTCTCAGGGGCAGCAGTCTAAGCAAAGATGCCCAGACTTTCCTCTTTCCAGACACTTCCTCCAGCTCCTCTGGGGGAATG